TATTTATACTTTTTGACTCAGTAGCTTCAAAGAATTTGTCTTTGTTTATTATAACGTAGTTTATATTATCAAAAGAACTAAATAACTATTGATAGGTGTCTAGTTTAATAAATGATGATACAACCATAGATGTGAATCTTAAATGGCCATAAAAATAAAAAAACAAAGGGGCCCTACTGCATGATCTCATCTCTAAGGCACATTATTTGATGAAATACTAAATGGCAGAACAGTGCTTATGATATGCTGACATTACTGTAAAAATAAATTGTGAACATATGGATGAATATACACACATGCACACATTTACAAACACATTTATGCTTGTAAATGCATATAGACTTTTCCAGAAAGATTCACAAGAACGGGAACTAGTTGCTTCTGGAGCGAGACTAGAGCATTGGAAGTCTGTGGTAAGAGAAAGACTTATGTTTGCACACAATTTCGTACTGCATGAACATTTGTCTTTTGTGGTTTTATTTTGGTCAAGAGTATATTACTTTTTTAACGACAGATTCCATTAAAAGGAAGAAGAGAAGTATATGAGGCCAGCAGAAAGCTCCAGTCAAATGAAGTTGTCCTCCATTTCCCTAACTGGATAGATTTGGTCTAAGTAGACTAGATTATGGCAAGGAGGGTGTGAGTGAGTGAGTCTGTGTGTGCGTGTGTGGTGTGTGTGTGATGTGTGTCTTCAAGTTTCATAATTACTAAATCTAGTGAAAATTTAAAATAAAATAATATCCTGCTTTCTCTCCCATTTAGCACTGGATCAACTTTCACTCAGGATTATTAATTCACCCAACAACTATTGACTAAGAACCACCTAACTTCTCAGTACAGTCAGATGCTGTGGGAAGCACCACAGAGGTGAGAAGAGCAATATCTTCTTTCATGGTTACATATAATTTAACAAAAGAAACAAGAAAAATTCCAATAACAATACAAGAGCTTAATGCTTATTCAAGTCAATTGCTCTAAGCCCCTTAAAATTGCTTTTTTTTTTTTTTAAATGTTACAGTGTCACTAGGAAGTCAGCAGGGGCACTTAAAAAATATCTGTGCTGAGTCAGGTCAGCTCTTTGTCAGTCTAGGGCTTCGATGATTTGTCTGAAGTTATATCACAGAACATAAAGCCCTCAGCAAAAAACATTCGTAGTTTTGCATATTAAAGTCATTAACTAGATCTCATAGAAAGTCTCCTTTAATTTCCTACGTGAACTTAAGTTTTTTGAGGGGGGAAGGAAAAAAAATCTACTTATAAATAAACATGGATTATAAATCCAGGTTATTTGTGGGGCATTCTTTTTAGTTTGTATTAGCTGTCTTCTAGGAAAGGCCTCTGCATCCTTCTCCCCCTTGGCCTGCTGCAGCTCTTCTATGACAGCAGCTGTCTCTCTGGTATGTTCCAATGTGTCCCCCTCACCATAATACCTTGTTCCAGGACAGGCCATTGCAACACACTATTTTTTAAAAATTCACTTAAAATATATTATATATATACATATATGTATAAGTATATATATCTTTATATATTATATTATATATCTATATATAATATATAATATATTATATATCTTTATATATATAATATATATATTTTCTCTGTACTTTATTTAGACAAATCTTTTAATGCTGATATTAAAATGTGACTTCCTTCTTTCTCTTTACTTTTTGTTTCTTTTGTGTTTGGAAGAGGGGAGGGAATGAATGTCCTCAAATAAGAAAACTAAAATCCTTAAAATATGTCTGGATTATTTAATAACACACTTTTATTATCTGAAGCAATTCTCTCCATACCCCACAATTCCTTCACCCTCAAAGCAAAGACAGGAACCTTGATCCCTTTACTCATACCTGGTGAAGGAAGGAAACAGTAGCAAATATAACATTTATTTGTACTTTAACTTTTCCAGAATACGACACCCAACTTTACCAATAGAGAACTATATTCTATCTGAGTTCACTTGTCCCTTGAACTGCTACTCAGAATTTCTTCAACTTAGCTTTGTTGGGTAAAGAATCAAAGAAGTCTGCAAGATCAGTATCTCCACTTAATTACCCAGTAGGGCAGCTCCCAGGGCTATGACTTCACCCTCATCCCCATCCTGTCACATCCCATCTCCATCCAGACACAGCTGGCGAGCCTCCTTGTTTACAGTTTAAGGCTGGGATATGGGTGGGTAGCAGTGGGAAAGTCTTCTATGGGAATTTTAGTAAACATCTTGGTTTTGTTTTTTTTTCTTGTTAAAAGTCAAAAGATTTTAAAATACTTTTTATATTTATGATTTTGTATTTGTAAATTTCATTTGTACCAGACATGCTTTTTTTTCTACATTAAACATAATTTTTGAAATAAACACCAGATCCACTTCAGTATACGGATGCTCTTTTAGAATCCGGGCATTTCATCATAACTATGCATGTACAAAGCACATCTGCTTTCCACGCTTTTGCGGTTTGCAATTACAGCAACATTGTAACATAACACATCAAATATATTTTCCTTCTTTCTTGGGATTACTAAAGAAAAAAACCACTATGATTTGTGGTTACTGTTATTTAATCTTCCTTGAATTTTATCTTCCCTCACCTGTACAATGGGAATATTATTAAATTCACCATATTTTTGGCTGTTTCTTTAGGTATACGCAATTAACTTTTTACTTACGTCATTTTAAACTCACACGAGGAGCAAGCATCCTGGACATCTATAAAAAGCGTAGCTTCTTTTAAACTGAAACCTTTTAAGTCTGTTACAAAGGAAATGTCCGTTACGGAAAACGTCAAACCTCACGTTATGGGTGATCAAATAACCGTGCTGAAGCTTGGACCAGGCGCCTCTCTAACGCACATGCAGTCCAAACTTGGCGGTCATGTGAGCCTTTGCAGGAGAACGCAGGCATCTGATCGCTCCGAGAGAAGCCTATCAGGAGAGCGCGCTGCCGTCACACCCACATACCCGCCACCTGTCCGGGGAATGGAGCCAACCTGACTGCTTTTCAAACAGTTGGCTGAGCTGCTGTGAGTTAATTCTTCCTGGAAATCTCTGCAACTCTAATGCACATGCAGTGTAACACTACAGGCCATGCCAAAACCGGTTTCATATATATATATACATATATATATATATATATATATTTCATATTCATATATATAATTACTCTAACTCTTGATTGCTTTGAATTTGTTATCTGTTAACCTGAGAAATCATTTTAAACATACATTATAAGTGCCAGACTTCCCTTTAGCAATCTTTTTGCAGTTCTCTGAATGGCACAGAAGTGTCGATGGTTTGGTCGTCTTAGCAAATGATTTTTAAAAAAATTTACGTGTGAAAATAGGCTGCATGAATATTCTATATAAGATAGCAGGCATTTTGCACTTCTGTTTATATGTCATTTATACCTTGACCACAAGCAATTGTACTTACCTCGTGTCATTTTTTAAAATTAGAATTTACTATATAATTTTTTGGAGGACTGCCACATCATAGTTATTCATCACCTGCATGGTCTGTTCCTGCCACTTCTAAAGTTCTTTTGAGGGGGTTAATTCTTGGCAGGTTTCAAAATTCCTCCACATGCTCTGTGGGATAGGATGAATGTGCACAATGTATTGTTTAATAATTGCAAGGCAATAATACAAAACAATGTATTGTGTTGTGCCATTTCATGCATCGAATTAAAAATAGAACTCTATTCTACAGAATAACACACTTTGAATTATATGGGTATTATCAGGTGTATTTCATTTTTGAGAAAAATTTTAAATGTGAGCCTAGTTTAAATTGTATGGACTTTCATCCTAACATACAAATGACGAGTGTGTGTGTGTGTGTGTGTGTGTGTGTGTGTGTGAGAGAGAGAGAGAGAGAGAGAGAGAGAGATGACTAGAAGGAAGCATTAAAGATATTCAGAGAAATAATCCAATATAGACAGTGAATTGGAGGTTTTGATTTTTGAACCTATTTCTCAGATATAAAGTGAAGAGTATAGAGTTAACTGTCCTTTCTGACTAATGCAAATCCTTTATACTTAAAGAGACATTTGTATTCTGAGCATTTTGGCAAAAAACCCAAATTCCCCTGTGATTTCATTATTCTTACTATTTTACTTACATACATCAATGCATTTTTGTTAATAGCTTTATTAAGATATAACTTACATACCATAGAGCTCACTGACTTAAAATGTACAAGTTAATGTTTTTTTTGTATGTTTACCCAGTGGTACAACCATTGCCATAATGGTTTAAATTTAAAACATTTTCATCACCATTCCCCTAAACTTCTCCATTCTCCAACCCCAACCTTATTCTCCAGCTCCCAGGCAACTGCTAATCTACTTTCCGTCTATAAGATCTGCCTATTTGTGGATACTTTATGCAAATGAAATCAAACCATACAACATGTGTCTTTTTTGACTGGCTTCTTTCACTTTGCATAACAATACAGTTTTAGATTATTTGACCTCAATATTCTGCCTCTGAGAATAAAATGTTATACTTGCATTCTTTGATGAGTTTGAGTATAATTTACATGAGGCAAAAATTAGTAACCAGTTAGAGCAAGAAGGCTTTTCTCCACCACATCATCCAATGCATTTTGCCAATGTTAACATACCAGATTGTTCGAGCGCAAGCTGCAGAACATCGTGTGTTTATGGACCCCTAAATTGGTATTGTCCAGGAGAATTTTGGGAGAAAAAACCCCTGCAAGTTACAAACAGGGTCTATCGAAAGAGGAGTGGGTTTAAGTATCCGACCAAATGTAGTTTAACAGCTTTACTTGCCCTCCGTGGAAAACCGGTGATTGCGGAGTATTTAATATAAATCCATTTAAACCTGTGTTTGGTGCTTGTACAGGGGGCCCTGGAGAGCCAGACCCCTTAGGAAAAGCAAATAGGAAACCCAGTGAAAGCAAATTTCTCTCTGCCCTTTCCCCCTCTTCTCGCTGGCAGGGTTGATCCTCGCTACAGTTTGCTCAAATATTTGGAAGTGAATTTAGGGCCCTCCCCCCAACTTATGATTTTATAGCCAATAGGTGATGAGGTTTATTTGCATATTTCCAGTCACATAAGCAGCCGTGGAGTGGAAACAGTGTCAGACTCGATTCCTCCTCCTCCGAGGAAACCTGCCGCTTTTAGCTGCCCTGCCCTTCCCTTAAAAGGGCGACTTGACCGGCACCGAACCGCGCAGCTCCAGCCTGCTCCTGCCTCGGGCTCCGCGGTCCATCGGTCTGTCCGCGTTTGTTCCCGTGACCTGTAGCGCCTACAGAGAGGGACGCGCCTGGAGATGGAGAGCAAAGCGCTGCTCCTGGTGGCTCTGGGCGTGTGCCTCCAGAGTCTGACCGCCTCCCGAGGAGGGCTGGCCGCCGCCGACAGTAAGTTTTGCGCGCAGATTCCCTTCCTCCTGTAAACTCGGCTCAGCGGCCACCTCCACGTGTGGTGAGGATGGGAAGGAGAAAGTCTGAAGGGGGTGCGGATGCGCTCCGGAGACTCTTCTAGCCCGAGTGCGGCCCCGGGAAGTCATCGGGATAGGATCCGTTGAGAGACAGAGAGGGAATTCTCCCTCGGATCTCGCTGGGCAGCTCCTAGTTCCCGCTCTCTCTCTTTCCCTGGGTTCCCGCGCTATCCCCTCCGCTCTGGCTGAGGCCCTGTTCCCCGGCGCCCGGGCTCCGCCGGGAAGGGACGGGAGGAGTGTGAGGGGCGGGACGAGGGAGGCGGGAGGAAAGGCCCAGATGGTGGTGACCGGCTGGAATGTAAGGCACGCAGGCCAAGGTGACCCTGGCTTGGCAGCAGCTGCGGCTCGGCCCCCGCCTGTGGGAGCGCGGGCAGAAAGTGGCTCCTTCTCCCGGAGAAGCAGGAACGGGGCGGGGGGAAGGGTGGTCCGCATCCTAGAGGCACAGGATACTCTCATTCTCCGCGTCGAGGCGGGAGTGGGGGACCGGCGACGCGTGGAGCAGAGGCCTGGGGACGCGGCGTCCTGCATGCGTTCCGGTGCCGGAAGCTCGCCACCTTCCACTCTTGCACGCTCGCCTCGTCTTAGCGCCCCGAAAATCTAGCGAAGGGGTGACCCTCTTGAAAACGTGGCCGCTGATTTGGGGGTTGCAAGGTTTGCACTTGGCTATCCTTACTGTTCTCTGAGCCGAGTCCCGATCTGGGCACCGCAGGGAGGCCGCGGCTGAACTCCAGTTGTCGCCCTCTCGGGAGTCCGGGGCTCACCAAGGTTTAGGCGTTGGAAGCCAGATGCAAATTTCTTTAACCGCGGTGTGGGGTGCAGGAGGGGTGGGGGCGGTGGCAGAACCAGCGCCCTGTCCGAGACCTGCCCACAAGAGAAGCCGCCTGCTTAACTTGAACCTTGGTCCAGCTAACGTACAACGGAAACTGTATAAAAAGGCAATTGAAGCAAGTCATCAAAGGAGGCAGCATTTTCTTTTCTCTTTGCTGGTGGACTTGCAGCGGGCGGCCCTTGTCGCTTGGATGTGCTTTCAGGCGGCAAGTCCACAGAGGTTCAAGTTATAGTGGAGCTGGTCCGTGACTTTTATTGTAGCTGAAAGTTTATCTCAGTACTGAGTTGTGGGAAAGAACATTTTTGTTAGGTTAAAAAAATGTGGATTCTATCAAAACTGAATTGGATAAAAAGACAAGTATCTTTCCTGTCAGATCAGTTTCTGTGAGCGGTTCAATGAGAAAGGCTTCAACTTCTATGTTCCCCTTGGATAGTGTTTAACACTATCCAAGAAGATGGTAGGGACTAACTCCAGATTCGTATTTTAAAAGTTGCACCATAGTGTAATAAAACACACACAAATATGTGTCGTCTACAGTTCAAGATTTTGCTAGGCTCCCTTAGAAGTTCAGGAGACCCAAATTTCTGGGCTAGTCAGTGTCACCTCTCTGAGTGTAGCTTCCTCAACTCTAAAATGAAGAGTTTGGACCAGACTCAAAGTTCTTATAGGCCCCTCTAATTCTTACTGTTTGATTTAATTGTACACATGTAAGTGATTAATGAATTAAATTGGATTTTAACAAACACATTCTTTTCCTGGCTGTAAATGTTTTAAAGGAGGAGTCATTTTTAAGTAGACTTAAAATTAATCCTTTTGTTATCTCTTCCTCCCACTCTCACCCCCCCAATCCCTTTTTATAGCATGCCTCTCCCATCACTTTTGGCTTCTTTTCTCCTCCAAATAAGTTCACTTAAGATGTAAGAATTTCAGAGCAGAAAGGTACAGGTGTGAGGGAGTTGAGGTCAGGAGCACTTCCTCTGGGCTCTGACTTTACTTATTCTCAGTTCAGTGTAAGAAGAATATGAGAACAGGAGGCAATGCCCTCAGGTTCCTTGTTCTTGGAGCCACCCGATCTCTGCGTGGCCTCACCAGGAAACTTGAAGAACTAGGAGATGGAACGTTATGGGTCAGTGCTCACTAGTTGCCATTCTATTTAACTGGCCTCAGTGAATTTCCAGACTAACACCTAAATTAAGCATGATGGACGATGACAGCAAAATAGCAGATACAACTTGGAATGGAGCAGAGCTTGGCGAGGTAGTGATTGATAAATAGTTGTATTGAAAGGTGGGAGTCAGACACTGGGGAAGAGTTACTTGGAAAACTCACTTTCTTTCAGACAGTGTATTTTTAGCTCAGCCCTCCTTTTTTGCTTTATTCCAGGAGGAGAAATTGGGCTATACAGTTTACTGCCTCTATTTTTACGAACATTTTTTTCTATAAAAATGTAGAGCAAATCTGCTTGTTAGGTAAGTCAGGAGCATTATCTGCATTAGAATACCTGAAAAGACCCGTCAATTCAGTCATATAATATTGATTTTTTTCCCCTAACCAAACTTTTTTGTTTTCATCAATTCAACTTGTTTCTTGGCATTCTACAGAAGTTGCCTGAGTCAATAATTGTGACTATTGGTCTCAGAAAGGACATGAGTCAGAATAGAGTCCTTTAGGTGTGTGTGTGTGTGTGTGTGTGTGTGTGTGTGTG